CGAACTCGTTAAAGGGTTTGTCGCCGCACGTAATGGCGGGTGCGATGTGTTGGCAGCGATGCAGCGAATGTGTGGACACCGGCGGACACTGTGTCTCGTTTGGATGTGCGTTGATATGAGTGCCAGTAATTTGTCGTTTCTGGTAAAACTCAAGGTATGGCCGGCACTCGTTGTGTACGGCAAACACCACCCAAAACCGGTGCTCTTCAACGCCCGCCGAAGTGGACGGCCTTTCGGCGAATGGCAGGTATCGGAGCCAACCTTTGTTTAAAAACACAAATTAAAATTTTAATGATTCAACAGTTGTTTATGTATTATAAACTAATTTATTATCTCAAATAAACCTAATGTTTGATTATTGTATAAACTTTTTTTCAATGCAAATATGTTTTGCAATGAAAACTACAATTTGTGATTTGAATTACAGATTCATACGATTATTACATTTGTGCACGAATTGAAGATATACAGGGGTTGCAAGAGTTGTATTGGTCCGGGCATTTATAATAACTTATTAGCAATTATTTTATTATTTTAACTCGTCCATTAAAATAATATTTATTTAATTATATTATAAATTATGATAGATTAGCTATTGATCCTGATGAATTTGTTTATCAAAATGCAAACTACAAGACTCTTACCCCTCCCTAACCCCTATAGTATGTTCAAAAATATGAACGATATTATTGCAAATTATAATAAAGTTTATTAACGTAAATAAACTTATCATAACATTAATAATTAATGCAAAACATGAACTGACAAATGAACATAACTGCTAATTGAGTTATGTTCAAAAATATGAACGATATTATTGCAAATTATAATAAAGTTTATTAACGTAAATAAACTTATCATAACATTAATAATTAATGCAAAACATGAACTGACAAATGAACATAACTGCTAATTGAGCACGTTAAACCAAATGGACAATTAGCAATGTTGGTCATAATGATAGCAATTATCGTAACAAACTAATTAAATTAGCAAATATTAATAATTAATGATATAATGAGCGCATATTAAGCGCATATTCATACCGGCCTTTTGGACATCCCTTACAAATTCATTATTGTTTTCATTGTTGTTATTATTAGTGGTGTTTGTGTTAGCAGTCAATGAGTTGAGTCTTAATAAGCCATTATTGGGGGCAGAGGTGGTGGCGATGGGGGCGACGGGTGGACTCGTACGGGTACTCATCGTGTTTGAGCCATCAATACAAATGGCAAAGCACTCAAACTTATCATTCAAACTACCGATTATTATAGCGATAAATGCATTACTCCTTTACCCACACATGCATTGAATATTGTTTTAAATATTCATTACTTATTTGTTTTAAACGTAATGTTAAACAAATTTAAGATAAATATTTAAAATAAGTTTTTCTACGAAAATGAGTGACTTTTTTCGCCCGAAAAAACCTGTCACTAATTATTTGGGGAATATTTTTGGGATTTTTTTTGTGCCTTAAATACTATGCGTTTGTTGTAATGAAAGGCAGAATATATTTCACTCAAACATATCAATATAAACATAGCCTAACCGTCCCTAACAGTCCCGTCCCCTCCTATCCCATCCAGTTTTGTGCTCCCAATGCCTCACGATTTGCATAACTATTTCTCAGTCGCTATGGCAACCATGTGTGCATACTCTATGCATAATAGTTAGGGTTGTATATAAAATACGTTGCTAGTGTATATAATTTGTACTTGCATTCTTTGGGTTTTGTTTTGCAGGCGCAATTTACAAAAATAATAATTGTAAATTATCATTTTTACTTACTATTCATCTACTTACTATTCATATTGCAATTTTATAATTAATTTTTATGTTTTATAGTATTATACACTTTTATAATGGATTTATATGAAAAACAATTTTTATTGATCATAGATTTCAATAAAGTTTGATTTGATTTGATTTGATATATGAAACAACATGGTTTATATTTATTATTGATGAGAAGTTTGAACCCCTTACACGTTATGTAATGAAGTTATAAGATATAATTATTAAATTTTAGAATAGTCGCGTTAGAGTTAATAATTATTTTACCCATAATTATGATGGTTTGATTTGGTTATGTAAAAATTTGTCATATTATAAATACTGAATTGTGTTTTGTATTATTGTAATAACTTGCAACTGGTAAACGAGGTATAGATCCGCTGTCTGTTATCCGGCAAATGCGAGATTTAGCTACAAACAAATAAAAACCGTGAAAACATCATATATAGGCCCAATTGCTTTTGCACCCAACCATTGATTAGAAAGGACACTTTATTGCCATAAAAATTTCTCATTTTACTAATAAATACTGTACTGTAATTATTACGGTGTAGTATAACTTTAAAATTGTTTTTATTTTGTTTTTAAAAGATATAAAGACTTTACATGAATATTAAAATTTTTATCATTTAATTTTTTTTAACTAAATCTATTTCTGTTTGTTTACAATTTTTAATGAGCAAAATATTTCATAATATTATTGAAATTAATGGTTGATGTCAGAGATACGTAAATGTCTAAAATGTTAAGATTTTTGTTTAAATTGCAATATAATTCTCAATATAATTAACATAAATAATAAAAGATTTATTTAATTATATACTTTGTTATAATGATGTACATGTAAAGTAATTAGCATGTCTATCATCTACTATATAGACATTATTGCATATATTCTAGTAATCCATATGTTTTTTGTGCTAAATTACATTAAAAATGTTCACAGATTAGTAGTAAACAGAGTAATAGTATTTCACTAATATTTCACTAATTCAAGAACTTGTTTAAATTAAGTATTGTAAAATTGAATGACATTGGAAATAAATGCCGTAGGGTTTTAGTTTTTAGGATTATAAATAGTTATTAATAAAATTCCAGGTTTTAAATAAAAACTACTATCGTAATTATAATACTGGTATTACAAATTGCATTCTATAATGATATTAATCTTTTAATTTTATTTCTATTCTATTGTAAAACTGTCAATTAAATGAAATGTTTAATCTGTCGTACCAATGTTGCAATTTTTATTTAGATGGTGATTCTTGTAACGAGACTATCCTGAATGTGTTTAACTTCTATTTTATTAATACAATTTGGTGTGTATTTTAAACTTGTTTCCCAATTCATGCATGGCTTAAATGTAAGCAATTTTATCATAAATGTATTTTTAAAGAATATTGTTTATGATGAGAGTTTCGTTTTTTATTTTAAATAATAAGTATAAATATCGTGTATCTTCAGTCAATTGATATAATAATTTTCAATTATTTTATTATAAATTTACTAAATTAAACAATACTGAGCTTATTTTGTGTTCAACAATATTGATTTTTAAAATGTATTCTTATATTATAAATAAAATTAATATTTTGTTATTAATACCAATTTTTATGAGTGAAAATAATTGGCTGCCATATGTGAACAATAGGGGAAAGATTGTTGGATTAGTTGATGGTTTTGTTGCTAATGGTTTATTTACCATGTCTAATAAGTGGAGATTTGTGGTATAATAATTACCTAGATAAATAACTTACACAATTTAAAAACTTGAAATCTATTTACCAGGCTGCTCTGTTAATAGAAGATTCGGGACAATACTATCAACAATGTGGGGGTTCACTAGTTTCCGATCACCACGTATTGACTGCCGCTCACTGTCTCGTTCAAAAAGGGTTGCAATTAAAACCCGAGTCTGTAATTGTCCGGTTGGGTCAGTACGACCTTACAATGAAAGGTCACGACTTTAAAGTGGACAAAATTTACATTTTTCCTTATTATAATAACCGCACCTATGCCAATGATATCGCCATTTTGCAACTTAATAAAAAAGTAAGTTTTGTGATATAATAATATTTTAAGTGGTTTAACAAATTGCTAATTTAATTGATCAGGTTGATTTTAAAGACTTAATTGAGCCGATAGTTATGGCAATGCCGGGTGAGAATCACCGGTTTGAGACTTCGGAAGTGACGGACAGTCAGATTGGTTATATCGCCGGTTGGGGCCGAACTTCAGCCACTGGTGATCACAGCGACATCTTATTGGAGGCACAGCTTATGATTGTGTCCCAAATTGAGTGCCAACTGTCATACAAAAAGAGCATTAGGATAGACATGAGCCGCTTGTGTGCGATCGCACCGTTAGAATCGCTGACAGAATCGGGAGAAACGATGGACGCCTGTAAGGGAGACTCCGGCGGACCACTCATTCAATACGACCAAATCGGAGAACAGTATTATTTGACAGGTGTCGTCAGTTTTGGCAAAAAATGCGCCAC